TGTAATGGATTTCTTTCCAAATGAAATAGAATTACATTTTTGAACCCAAATAAACTGCTTCATAACCTTGTTTATTTAACATGTGCATTGTGCCAAAAATATGCATATTTTTAAATCATAGACATCTCATCTATTTATTATCCAGACCTTTAATTTCAGTAGTTTCAGTATTTCATTTATACCTTGATTTCCATAGCATTATAAAGAAATAATGTGTTATGTATTAATAAGAAAATAAACAGATGTGCATTTTTACAGAGAAGTCTATGTGCTAGAATATGCCTATGGTTAAATTCTTTTCTTAAGTTTTCTCTAAGGGAGACAGGGATCTAAGATTTGCAATGCATTGCCCTCTTTATTCCTAATTGCTGCTACTTATGTTGTCATTCAGTGTTATTCAGTTTCCTTCTATTCTGAAACAAAAGCACATATAAGGGAACTATAGTATAGACTAGTACAAACTGCTCTCACTCCCCAAGAGTTTGAGGTGTGTTGAAATTTTGGAATAGTAAAATTGGCATCTTATTCTTTGCCCAACAGATTTCTAAATATGAAAACCAAGTGCAAAAGCCACAGGGTATAATAGTCAGGATTTCTAGATTTCACTGCTACTGTACCACTTGGTCTGGACCTTAGGCCAGAGAAAATAAATCAAACAGCAAACTTTTGCCTCAGAGTTTTTAATAAAGAGGTCAAAATGCATGAATTTGTTAGAACCCCGTCATTCTCTTCATTCAGTCTCCACTAGAGGCACCTCTTCTACATGATACAGAAAAGAAAAAGAGCTCTGTGCCTGGTGCCAGTGGCTAACAAATATAATCCTAGTTACTCAGAAGGATGGGATCTGAGAATTGTGTTTCAAGGCCATGTACTGGGCAGGGGATTCCATGAGATTCTTATCTCCAATACACCAATAAATAAATAAATAAATAAGCTGGAAGATGAAATTCTTCACAGTTTCTTCTTAAAACCTCTTGCTGAAATAAGATCATCAGGAACATATCTTCAGAATATGACTCAAGTGTCTGGAACTCAAGTGTTGATGGTTAGAGATGAGCAAAGAATTTCTGTGAAATACTATTTGCACCTCCGGTTACTTTCAAGTTGTTTTGCCATGAAAATACTTTGGCAATTAGAATGTTGTCATTTCCACATTCACATTATTTAAATTTGCATCTGTTTTGCTACCCCCTGACTGTGAATCATTATTCATCTGTACTCCTCAACTGCTTCATCGTAATATCCACCATCTCACAGGCTTGTGAGAAGATTAGGTGTACAAAAATCTAATTGCCTGCTAAATTCAATAAAATGTAATTGTGAGTTACATTTTTGTGACTAAACTACTGCTATTCTACCAAAAAGAATTGGGATTAATTGGCCTTGCTAGGGTTTCTTAGTCAAGCAAGTCTAGCTCCCCAATCCTATGAGATAAACCAATATACATGGTATTGGTTATTCTGATTATTCATAGAGTCTTTATTGTGAAGTATAATTTGTTTTTAACCTTGGTGTGAAATTTCATGTCCTGAAACAACTTTCAGAAAAGAAACATTTTCTAAATCTTTTTGTGAACATCTCATTTATTCAAGCAAATTGAATTTTAAAAATTAAACACCAGGTCATTTGCAGGTGCCATTATCCAGAAATGTACTTGAAGAAATTGTTCCCTTAATTGTACCAATAGGGATTTGTCTGTCACCTTTAAAGCATTAGTTATATAAGGCAGAAAATATTAACAAACTTCTAAAAAAACACACACACACAAGGTCCCTGGCTCTATATGAAGTATTTTGCCCTAGGAACTAACAGGATATTCAAGGAATTTTCTATATTCAACAAGTTCTTGAAGAATAACTTTCTGCCTATGGATCTTGTTTCAGTAGTAGTGTTAGTTTGGGAAAAAAGCTAATTTGGAATGACATGCAGGTAGATAAAACTCAAATCACTAACCTCTAGCCAATCTCAATTTTAAAAGAAGAAATGTATGAAACATTATGCATCTTTCCAGTCTTTATATGCCACAGTGATAATTTTAATTATGCATATACATACAGAGAGAAAAATCTTAGACCAGACAATAAACCTCCTCCCCAAAATATCACCTAATCATGAAATTCTATTACGAGAACTGAGATTCCTGCAGACCTGGACTCATTGTCTTCATTACCTCTTCCCCCTCCCACATTTTTTGGTTGTAGATGCCCTAAAAATCTCAGATCTTTAGCATGAAATTTCTTTAGAATAAATGCAATTCACTTTTTGCTTTGTATTATTCTTACACCTTTTGTATATGCATTGTCCACCCTAGTGAGTTAAAAGCTTTTGAACAACAGAAAATATGTTCTCTGTATCTTTGGATCTTTCTATGATATCTAACATCCACATTTGTTAGCTGACTAGAATAAAAACATGAAGACAAAGGGCTTGTGCAATTGAGAGTGTTTCTGGTACTTAGAAGTCATACCTATATGGGATATAAAACAAAGCACACAGTTGAAATAAAGGATGAGAAACTATAAAGACACAGGTTGGGATGCGGAGTTTAAAAAACACTGCATAACAAAAAGGAACTGGAGAGTTTTCAAGGATAACTCACAAAGGTATGCCCCTTTGAATATATATCCAAACGTATAATAAAATAGCCCAACTAAACTAGTATGTGAGCACTTTGCAAGCAAAAACATAAAGGTTTTATGCAGTCATTTGGTTGATTGAAAAATTTTTAAATATTTGCATAATATGCTGGGTTTTCACAGTAAGGAAAGAGATTATTTGCTTATTTTGAGAACAAAATGAGTTTTGCATATTTAACCCAGGTTCAGGGAATTATTTCTGAATAAGAATAATTATAGAATGAAAAATGAAATAGTTTTAATACTAAAAGTCTATTAAAGCCTGTTTATGAAGAGAGTTTTCTTCAATGCACAATTTTTCTTTTTTTGCTTTAAGACCATCAGATCATTGCTGTATATTTTATTATTCAAGGGTCAGTAATTTGAGACTATCTAAAGTTCTTATTATTTAAATAAACATAACTTATGTGGTAGCTAAAACTACCTGAATGTTGTGGCTTAAGAAACATGTCATTTTGATGAATTTTTCATACCCATGGAAAAATTTAATGAAACCATTTTAAAATGTGGCAGTTTAAGTGAGTACATGCACAGAAAGACTAACAATAATATAAATGTGAAGCAGAAAGAACAAAATACTAAATCCTTTAAATAGACCATGAAATAGAAGACTTTATGAATGTGAAGAAATAATGCATAAGACTATTCTAGTTGACAAATTAAGAATGCTTCTCTTCTGTCTACAGTCTTTCACAATTAAACATATTAAAGAAATAGAAACACTCTGGGGAGGGGACGGGGCACGATGGCTCACACCTGGAATCCTGTCTACTTAAGAGTCTTAAGAACAGGAAGACTGTAATTCAAGGCCAACCCCAGGCAAAAAAGTTCATAAGACTTGAGCCAATAGTGGGATGCAGTGGTGCACACCTTTCTTTCTAAGCCATGAGAAAGGCCAAACCTGGGATGATCCTAGCTTTAGGACATCCTGGGCCAAAAAGTCCAAAGAATCTGGGTATGATTGTATATGTCTGTAGTGGGACAGGAAACCTAAAATAGGCAGGTGCTCACAGTGCAGGAAACAAGAGCCTATGCAAAACTAACCAGGACATCAAATGGCTGGGAGGCATGAACCCAAGAGCACCTGCCTAGCAAGTGAGGTTCGAACCCCAGCTTCACAGTGAGAGGAGAGACGATTGTTTGTTTGTTTGCCTGAGACTAGTGCTCTACCACTTGAGCCACAGCTCCACTTTTTTTTTTATGATAAATTGGAGATAAGGACTTTCCTGTCATGGCTGGCTTCAAACTGAAATCCTCACATGTCAGCCTCCTGAGTAGCTGGGATTATAGGTGTGACTGATTTTTAAATGATGTTAACTGAAGATGGCTGTAATTCCAAGTCACAGATCATTCTTTGGGTGTGTGCACACATGCATGTGTGTTCTGATATCAGGGCTGGAACTCAGGGCCTGAGTGCTATCCCTTGGCTTTTTTTGCTCAAGGCTGGCACTCTACCACTTGAGCACAGCTCTACTTACAGCTTTTTTTGTGTGATTAATTTTAATTAAGACTCTTACAGACTTTTCTGGCTTCAAACCGGTATCCTCAGATCTCAGCCTCCTAAGTACTTGGCATATGCATGAGCTACCAGTGCCCAGCCAATTCAAAAGCTAACAGTGATTCCCTTCCTATTTTGGAACTGTGACAGGACCACAAACACAGAGAATGCATAGAATACACATTACACAGTCTTTGCCACAGGTTATTCCACCACTTCTTATTTTGCCTTTACTGGAAATTCTAATTTCTGGATCATTCCCTGGTAATGTTTGTATCAGTGGGTATGGCAGGGCCAGCTCAGCAAAGGTTGCATAATAAGTTTCTGATTTATAATCAGCACAATCTTTTCATCCTGTCCTAGATGTTTACTTTCAGATATTTCTTCCATCTTTTGAGAATTGTTCTCCATTTTCTTCTTAACTAAAATAATAGTTGAAAACTGTCTTCTTCTTAATAATAGTATTTGAGGTCTCTAATCTGCTTTAGAGAAAAGTAACTGCAAGTTCTTCTATTTCTCAGTATTACCTGGTGGTTTATTTTTGATGTTCACTGAAGCAGCTTTTTTAAATTAATATGAATATGAAATGCCCTATAGAAAGTTTCATAGCACATCAGCTGAAAGTAATTATCCAGGAAGAGTTTTGCTCTGTCAGTCTTGCAAATGCATCTCATAGGTTTTTGAAAGGAAATAATTCTTCTGTTTTAAAAAGATACATTCATCTTGAAATACCTGTTCTTATTTGATTCACTCAAGTTCATGGTTTGATCTGTTTCCACCAGTGGTACATCTCAACTTTGGCCTTCAGATTCTGAAAGTATTAATTAATTTTTTATAATGTTTGGTTTCCTTGTTTTCTTTTTCAGAGTACCCGAGTGGCCTTGGACCATCTGGAGTCTGTGCCTGAGAAACTGAGCCTCCTGGATGATTTCAAAGACTTTAGAGTAAGGAAGAGTTGGCTTGTCTCTTTCACTATGTGTATGAGGTAGAACACTTGACATCTTCCTGATGTGCAGGAAACTTGCAGGAAGGAAGGCAAGACCAAAGAACACTGTGAATCTTAATGCCATCTTATTAGAGTCCATTGACATTTGTAAAGTCAGGGCTGAAAATAACAAAACATTTATTAGAAAAATATGGAAGATTGGAAGCTCCCTTGTCCCCCTAAAGCTTTAACAATGATTTCTGGAAAACCTAATAATTAAAGGGACTCACACATTCCACTGACAATAGGTTTTGATTAGAAATTTTATTTTTTATATATTTTTTATTGTAAAGATACTGTACAGAGGGGTTACAGTTACATGAACAAGGTAATGAGTTCATTTCCTATTCAGCATTGTTACACCCTCCTTTATATTTACCCTACCATCACTTCCCCTCCCCCACTCCTCTCTCCTCCCTCCTTTACCCCTCCTTCTCCTTCCTCCCTCCACAAACTCCTAGGTACTGTTTGTATTAAAGATATCAGAGCACTATACTATGGTATGTGAGTTTTAGACCCTATATCCTATTTATTCATAAGACTAACCAAAAGTTATTTCATTACTTAAACCAGTTCATTTGATGTATGAATATGTTTCCATGGTGTAATTTTTCTTATATACATTATAGAGAAGAAGAGGTATAATATAGCAAATGACGTTGCCACCCAGTCTTACCAGAATAGGTCCTGTCCAGACAATGTCTTCTGTAATGTATACTTTTCGGCACTTTTATTTTATTATACTGTTAATATGACTTGTATAGTGTCTATGTCCCACCTTACCAATGGTAACAATTTCTCTTTAGCAACCATATAAGCTTTGATTTCACAGTTATTAAAAATAACTGAAAATATAACAGGCTGTATTTAGATTCTCTTTTAATCTAACAATTATTTAAGGACACAGTACATAGGAACTAATAGCCAGATCTATTGGAAGCACTGATATGTTCTCAAAGTTTATCTTTAAAATTGCTTTCTCCCAGACAATTATTGATCATTCAGTGCCAAAAAATTTTTGAGTGAGATGTAGAGTTGAGCTGACACATCCTGAAATGAAGACTATTACAAGTAAGATAATACCAAGTATCTCTAGTGTAGTTTATTAATTCTTTCGCATGAATTTGATTACATATTTGCAATGTAAATCCCTACGAAGCAGTTATGAATCCAGCATCCACTACCATGTAATTCCCATTCATCCTCAGAAAATCCTTTGTCCACAGTAGGATACTCATGCTTTCTCCTTTTCTTTGTCTGTACTAACTGAAGTCATTGAGGTGAATGAATGAAGGACAGGCAAAGGGAAGTGTTGGGAACAGGTGCATTGCGTCACAGGAACATATGGCCTCTCTCACACCCATATCATCATAGAAAGTTTGGCCCCTAGTGACATCTTCCTTGTTCCCCAACGGTCTTCATTAGACAGTTCAAAAGTTGTATTTTCTATTACTCAAGAGGTTACTACTCTTTATCGTATGGCCTAGTAATTACCTGCTCATCTAGCTTATATAGACAAAACTCAATGAGGCTTTCATAAAGAGGCAATCATAAAAAGGCTTTCATAGTAAAGTTTTTAGAGAGACTATTTCTTAGAGTTCACAATTATACTTTCAACATTAAAAAAGAAAGCCTGTAGCTTAGAAAAGGAAAAGAATAAATTAGCAAGTATTATACACACATCATGTGGGAAATAGTGGCTTAAACTCATTACATTTCTTCTAACCTTGTAGGGCACATTGCACTACATGAATATTGTTTTCTCTAATTTACCGAGGAAGTCACTGAAGCTTGGAATATGTAAATTATTTGGAAGTAGAATCTTATTCTGTCTTCTTTGCCCTGTTGCCTCTAAACTGGAAACTCACCTATTCTATATTTAATCTAAAGTCCTCTATAAATTTTTGAACAACTAAGCATAACCTTAAATGAAAATACATGCAACTTTATATTACTAAAGATGGATTCTATTTCAAGCCCCTAAAACTCTTTAAAATACTCTGGTTCCATGTTGCATGAACCAAAATGGGAAGACCTAACTTTTTGTTCCAGATTCAATCATCTAATACCACCTCAGGGACTGTTTCCTCACCCATGAAGTAAGGGACTTAAACAGTGTTAGCTCTGGTTCCTACTTACATTGCCATAACTGGTGTGAATGTAAAAATATATCTTATAACTATATTTATTTTACTAATATACAAAGTAATGGATTCTATTGTTCTTTCATGCACAAATGTAGTATAGTTTGATCTTATTTCTCAAAATTACTGTACTTTTATATGACTGGGAGTACAGACTTCCCCTCTGCTTTCGTGGACTTGATTTTATTTACATGTGGTCATATTCTTTCTTTTCTTTCTCCCTCCCTCTGTCCTTTCCTTCCTTCCTTCCTCTCCCTCTCTTTTACATCTATTTATTTAACCCCATTTTGAAGGAATACATGGTAGTTCAACTTTTATCATTACCTATTTACCCATGATATACTAGATAAGATAGAAAAGCAATGACATTGGTTCCAGCTCAGTTCTGCAACAGGAAAATCATTCTTTATTTCCATGAACTTCGATTTATAATTGTTTTTATAAAAATGAGATATTTGGAATTTTAACTCTTCCAGCTTGAGTGCTCAATAAGATCAAATTTCCTTGTGTCTATATGACACATTGTCATACTTTTCTTGAATAATAAGATCAGTTGTCTCTATTTTTTCCCCTTTTCTTCCCACATTATGAAAGCAATGTCTAATGGGCTATAGTAACTGTTTGATTATTATTATTAAATTTAAAATTCTCCCTGATATAACACTTAAAATATAGACTGGTGTTTAAAGATAAGTGAAGGAAAAGGGCTTTGCTTTTTTTTTTAATTTTATTTTATTGTAAAGATGCTATACAGATGGGTTACAGTTACATGCGTAAGAAAATGAGTACATTCTTGTCAAGCATTGTTACCCCTTCCCTTGTTCTCCCAATATCCCTTCCCTCCCCTACCTCCCTCATTCTCCCTCACCCCCCCCTCCCGCAAAGTTGTAAAGTTCATTTCCAATATACTGTCTTTGCTTTTAAAGGTAGCTTTTTTTTTGGAAACAAGATTATTTTGATGCCAAGTACTAATATAAAAAACAGTACAGAAAAGTGGTATAGTGTCATTAACAATCATCTTTGGACATCTCATTATCATCTAAACTTTTGTCTGTTTAGCTAATACATGCTAGGCATTTCAGATTAGTTCCAGAGGACAATATAAACCCATTTTTATAGCAATCTCCATTGTGTTTCTTTTTTTCCTGGTGGCCATTTTTGTTCTATATATCTGATCACAATGCATATTGTAGAATCTATTACTTAATTTATACTTTTAGATTTTGTTTTTATTTTATACTGTTATTAATACTATCTTATTCTAATTTCATTCACTAGTTTAGACCTTTTCCTTTTTTTTTCTAGGATTTCCGCTGTTTATCAGAGAGAACTGATGGGAGATATTCCAAATACAAAGCTTACAGAGATTCTCTTCAACAGCACCAAGATGACAAGTACAGAAACAAATGCTTCAAAGTAATTTTCCTTATATGTTTATTCCATCTCTGAGATTTACCACAGGGCAATTGTGAAAGATTCCCCTTAAAGATTCCCCTTTTATATATGAAACAGATCAGCAGTGCAGTGGGATTATCCAAAGATTATGCTTATAACTTTTTGTTTGCAAAGTAAGCCATAAGGAAATGCCATTACTACTCACTGTGTTGTTTGTCTATGAGTATTCATGCTTTGGGGTACCAGTGGCTCACATTTGTAATCGCAGGTTTTCAAGAGGCCAGGGTCTGAGTTTGAAGACAGCTTGAGCAAGTGATTGAAATCAATCTTCAATTAACTGGCCAAAAAAGGCAAATTGCACCATAACCCAAGTGATAGAACATCACCATCCATTAACAAAAAAAATAGCGAGTAAAGGCTGGAGGCTTCAAGTTCAAGTCTTGCTACTGGCACTGAAGAAATGGAGACAGAGGGGGCTGGGGGTTTAGCCCAGCGGAAGGGCGCCCACCCTGTGCGCGCAAGGCCCTGGGCTCGGTCCTCAGCCCTGAAAAAAAAAAGAAATAGAGACAGAGACAGAGGGGAGAGAGAAGAGAGAAAGAAATCTTGAGTCAGGAAGCTTGGTCACTTGATTGCTCCAAGCTAAGTGTGATAGTTTCTTTGAAGGTTTTAGTCCTACCCTTGTCAGCAATGAAGTCCCTTAGTGAAATGGATGGTCAGGTAACCATCAGTACTTTGCAAAATAAAGTCTTGGCATGTTCAGTCATTCCTCTCCTGGGTATGTAATCTCCATGCTTACACTTGATCTTCTGATTTATAAACATAGAACTAACACACTGGAGCCTGAGAAAATGTGACCGTGTTGAAAAATGTATACTATCCCAAAGTATCCATGTGGAATAAACAGATAAACCAATTTAGCTCTGAATAGTTTTTAACTAAGAATATTCTCCCAACTTTCACATTATTTTGTTTGGGGCCATACAGTTTTCCGTTGGAATGTTAACTTACTTATTTCTAGTTTTGTGTGCCTGGAACTTTTTTTTAAGTCATATAAGATTCCAATCAGAGATGGGCACTGGTGGCTATAACTGTAATTCTGCTAGTCAGGAGGCTAAGATCTGAGGATCAGGGTTCAAAGCCAGCCTGGGTAGGAAAATCTGTAAGATTCTTATCTCTGATATACTACTCAGAAAAAGCCAAAAGTAGTGCTGTGGTTCGAGTATTTGGACAGTGCCTAGGCCCTGTGTTCAAGGCCCAGGCTGAAAAAAAGAAGATTCCAGCCATGGAGCCTTCTTGGAGCTTTTGTCTAATTGGAAAATACTCATATTTTTTGTTATTTTTCTGAATACAACATTCAAACAACATTTACTGCTTTTTTTAAAAAAAATTATCTGTAAGTAGTTGTACAGAGAAGTTGCCATGTAACAAAACAGTTTACGAATGCAATGTATCTTGGTCAGTATCATCTCTTACAACATTCTTATCCATCCTTCCCAACCTACCCCTTCCTTCGCTTTTCTTAATTTTTAACGTTGAATTCTTGACTGTGTCCCCCCACCCCCCCTGTCCTCTTGACCCCACCTGACCCCTTTCAAATACCTGCTTCCTGGTGTTTTATTTTGCTGAACTTTGACTTTGCCTTTCTAATGAATTACACTATGTGAGTTCTCCCTTGAATCTACCATATTTCAGTTAATACATCTGCATCTACATGCATACCACCCAATGTATTTAGTTATAAGTTTATATGCTAATTCTAGCTTCCACAAGTAAGGATAAGCATGCAGCATTTGTCTCTTTGGGCCTGACTCACTTCACTTAACAGTTTTTCCAGGTCTTTCCATTTCTTTACAAATGATACATTATTCTTCCTAGTGGATTAGTAAAATTCCATTGTGAACATAACCTCATTGTCGTGATCTATTTTCTCATTGAGGGACATCCACTTTGAGAGTTCAAAGGAGACAAACATGCGCGAGAGACTTCTGGAAATGAGGCTTGTGATGATGAAGTTCAGGGAAGTGTTTAATCCACATCTTGGGTTTCAGATCCTCATTAGAATTCCAGTTGTGGAACTCTGTTGACAGGCAAATAACCAGTATTGACATAGTACAGCCATGTTGGCAACAGGCTTTTTTTTCATATTGTTGCTGTTGCAAGAAAGCAGCACAACAGCCAGTGTGACCACACCACTCAAGTCTGATGGCCAAGGCTGACCAGGCCAGGGCTGATCTCCTACTTATTCCCATAGCGGTCAGCTAGGCAAAAATCATCACATTTCTAGAAACCTTCTGAGAGTTTGAGCAGAGCCACCTTCACAATGATTCAAGCATAACATAATAGAAAATGATAATGTAATAGTGTGGTAAGCTGACCGAGCTAATTGAACAAAAAGCCTGATCTTAATTCAAAGCTGGGTACGACACATCCCCCCTGACTCTGGGCAGACAACAGAAGCATGTCGTGGCTTCTTTTCCACTCAGCCTAATTGTGTTTCTGTAGGACATCCGTCTTCCTTGCTGTCCCAGCTGTTTCAAATGGAAGAGAATGTCCAAAAAGTCAGCCAGCAACACAGAACTGCTAATCTTCATTCACAGAGGAAAATGGTTCATCCAAGAAATTTCCATTTGTTACCTTAAACCATCCTAAATAGATGGTTTTAATTAACACTGGAATTTTTTTTTTTAGTAAAATCACACAAGGCATATTTTTCCTACTCTTCCTCCCTTGAAAGGAGAGTCCTGATTTTTAACTTCTAGTTCAAGAGTTGGTATGCAACTACACTTTAAAGACCCAGATGTTTTTACCAGCTGAGATGAGGCAGGTGGGGAAGTGTTGCTGGTGGCTTTCAGCAGTATTTATGAAGGCAGAATCTGCCAGAGGCCTTTGTCTTATTTGTTCATTGTGAGCATGTGTGTGGTATAAATTCATATTTTGTTCTCAGAAGTCAATTCTCCCTCACTGAATTGCTCAGTGATTTGTTTATGCCTTGCTCATAGCAATTAATGGCTTTTAGCATTTTCCTTCTCAAGTCAGCTATTTATGACTTAAATCTGCAGCACTAGCTTCTATAAAACATGTTGTGCATAAAAATTCCAGGTAATTCAGGATTGTGGGTGATATATAATTACTTTTTCTTAATGACTACAAAATATGTCACTAGTATATGTTTCATCCAAGTTTATAGACAATGCTTGGATTTTTCCCAGCCACCATGGTAGATTTAAGGGAGCTTTATCCCTGCAATATCCCAATCATCTCATTTGTAGCCCAGCTTTCATAAGAAATTATAAATAAACTGTCATGCAAATACTTCTCTGTTTTTTTCTCAGTCCCAAGTAATTTGCTATTCTTGGAGCCTCTTACACAGAGATTTAAGGTACATGGTATACATTTTAAGAGCATTTAAAGAAAACACTAGTGTAACGCTAAGTGAATGCTGGTGGGATAGGTACTGTCTGCCTCATCTTTGATCCAGAATACACAATGATCATACAGTGTAAGTGAAATTGGTGGTTAAAACATTATTTAGGCTAGGCACGGGTGGTGGTTCCTACCTATAATCCTAGCTACTCAGGAAGCTGAGATCTGAGGATCACAGTTCAAAGCCACCCCAGGCAGGAAAGCCCATGAAACTTTTATCTCCAATTAACCACCAAAGAGCTGAAAGTGGCTCTGTGGCTTAAGTAGTAGAGTGCTAGCCTTGAGCAAAGAAGCTAAGCGACAGTGCCAGGCTCTGAGTTCAGGACTGCCTAGGACTGCCACCAAAAAAGGAGTAAAAAAAAGAAAGAAAGAAATGTAGTCATGTTTGAATGGCTTTAAGAACCCAAATATGACATGGAATAGAAAGAAAAGATGCATGTGAAAAATATTAGAAAATACAATTTCTTTCATCCAATAGAATTTTTGCAGAGAATTGTAGCTTAACTAGTTTATTCAGTTCTAAGACAGTAATAATGATAAATCTTGATGCTAAAGATAAAAGAATTGTTAAGAAGATACTATATTTTGGGTTCCCTAACCCATAGTTGTTTCCTGTAAAAGCTTTGGCAACATTCATGATCTTTTCTTCTCTCTAGTCGCCAATATTCCTTATTCAAAGTAACCGTGGAAAAGTACAAATCAGTGCTTAGCCTTCCTCATCTGAAAACTCTTGATTGTATTTAAAAAGTAAGATCCCAAATCCTGAACAGAGTCTTAACCACCTCTGGGCCTTACTCTTATCACCACCAGGCTCAGTGTGCTTAACTATACGGCCCTCCTTAACTAGCTGATGTCCATCACCCCCACGTCATTTTTTGCTTCCTTTTTACCCTTCTCCCACCTATAAGTTTTCAACTGGTTGTTTATATTTAGCTTCCTGTATTTCTCCAAATATCACCTCTATGGAACCTTGACTTCAAATTTAAATTTGGTCTTGTTATTATTTACTGTTCTTTTTATATTTATTATAATTTTTCATAATATCATATATTTTATAGTTCATTTAATGCCCTTTTTTCCTTATAAGCCTAACATTTTCCTCAATATCTTATTTATTTTTTGCCCAGCACATTACAGCTGCCCCTCGTCACCATTATTAATTTTGTATGTGTGTGTGTGTGTGTGTGTGTGTGTGTGTGTGTGTGTGTGTGTGTATGGTATGAAGGTTTGAACTCAGAACAAGGACCCTACTACTTGAAGCATGCCTCCAGATTTTTTTCTCTATATTTTTGAGATAGGTTCTCAGGTTTTTTCCTAGGCGAACCTGTACTGAGTCCACCCATTCTTAGTCTCCATAGTAGCTGGGATTGCAAGAGTGATTCAGCATACCCAGGCTTCTCCCAAATTATTCTTGAATGAACAAATGAAAGAAAAAAATAAATTATGAAACTCATGGGAGAAAAATTATAATTTTAATTTCACTGTTTAGTAAAGTACCAATTTTAATCTATTCATAAAATTTTCTGTATTAACTCTATTCATAAGGTTATCATCCTCATTTTTAGCTGAGATTTATGGAAGATATATGGATACAACATGAGACCTTTGCTTCCTCATTTTTATTTATGTGTTATTAACTATTTGTTGACTAGGTACAAAGAGTAATATAATCATTAGGGAATGCTGTCTAGGTGCATGCATTTTAAAACACCAAATTGTGTTTTTATTGACTCAATATTTCCACCTGAGAACTTGTCCTAAGGATTAAATCTAACGATGGAAAGGTTCTCTATTTAAAAATACTTCTCACAGTGTTATTTATAGGAGTAAAACACTGAAAATCACCTTAATGCCAAGTAAATTAATGGCCGAGGAAAGCATAGCCCAGCTACTAGATAGTATGTGAGGAAACCTTGGGCTGAAGGTTGAGGTAACAGGATGACTTCCGTGATGTTTACAAATGTGTAAATGTAAATAGCACAATGTTTTATGATTGTTAATAAATCCTATTCATAGAGAGGGAAATAAAAGGATTAGAACAAAATATGGTATGCCTCCATAGCAATGAGTGATTTCTTTCCATTTTTAAATGTGTTTTTGTAAAGGGGTTTTTATCTTTAAAGGGCTTACAGTCATGTTCAAATGTTTCTGTTCCGTGTAGTCTGTATATGAAAGTCCAGTTTCAGTTTCAGCACATCTAAATAGCTCTCCGTCCTTACGTTTGGTATCAAAGGAGCTGAACTGTACACTTTCTTCCCTAGGATGACAGAAGGTTCTTAGCAAGTTCCCATGGTCCTGGGTTAGATCACTCATTGTCTTGGCAGGATTCTGGTCGGTTCCTGTCTAGTCCTCGATTTTCACACTTCAACTGTAAGTAATAAGTCTTCTACCAATCTTAAATTAGATTTAAGAAAATGCAATTCATGGAAAAAGGTTTAAAGCCAGTACATGATAGTAAGATTCATGTTACAAGTTTGAGAACATTTTCATTATGTGTCACACAAATAATCTCTCCAAGTATACTAATAATAGCCCTCCCCCACTTAGTAAAATATAGATGGGGTTCCTTTCTTTAGACCTTAAACTTCTCAGCAACCTTAAAGTAAATCACCAAAGTAAAAATATTAATTAAACCAGTTATTTGTTTGGTGATTCCTACTAATTGTGGATGAGTAAGTAAAGAAAGTTAGTTTATAATAAAATTCAAATTATCAAGAAAAAGAAGATGCCTACATATACTTGTTCAGAAATAAGGAATCTTTGCAAAAAGTACTAATGCCCACTAGCTATCACTACGTGAATACTTTGAATGTTGTTAAAATGTCTTTTTCAATATCCAGCTATGAGTCCTTTCAACCAAGTTATCCATGTGTCCATTTCCCTCCTCTGCTATGCTTATTCTTAAAGAAGATATCAGACTTTACAGTTTTAAAGGTGATTTCTAGTAAAACTACCTACCATAAACTATAATTGTCCTTTAAAACATTTCTCAGAATAATAATTATATAAGTTCTTGTTATTTGAGTGACCTTTTGTTTACAGAGTCTTCCCTCTACCAAAGAGTGAACTCAGTACAATAGGATTAGTGCTTGTCTTTCACCAGTTTCCTTTCACATATTGCTTGGCACAGAGTAAAAGCTCAATTAACACTCAGTTATATTAGCTGAGTGAACACATGAATTGCTTCTGAAGAGATTGTAATTCAAACATTATCTAATGGATTCTTGTTTATGCTATGTACATTACAAGAGATAATTTTGTCATTTAAAGTAGCTCTTTAGCTGGGTATTGGTGGCTCATGCCTGTAATCATAGCTACTCAGAAGGCTAAGATATGAGGATCACTGTTCAAAGCCAGCCTAGGCAGGAAAGTCCTCTGTGAGACTCTTATTTCCATTTAACCACCAGAAACTTAGAAGTAGAACCATGGCTCAAAGTGGTAGAGCACTAGCCTTGAGCAAAAGAGCTCAGGGACAGCACCCAGGCTCTGAGTTCAAGCCCATGACCAACCAAAAAAAAAAAAAAAGTAGCCATGTTGCTATAAAATACTAAGCCAAAATAAGCAATAAAGAAGTAGGTCTTATGCAAGGGTGATAGCACTTATTTGGAAGATTTATATTCATGAGTTCATTTAGTGGATATTTACTTATTTCTGGTAAGTGATTTAGTTGGCATTATATCATAATTGTCATTCCAAAAGGTTTGCATTTTCTCTTTCCTGTCCTAATCATTTTGCCATGTGCTTTGTAGCTACATAAACCTTCTGCTGTTCTACTCTAGCAACACTCTTCAATGTAGCTTGTATCTAGTTGGATATAGCATTTCAGACTCTTCAAAAATCAAATGTTGCTGTGGAAAAAAAAAAAAGCCCACATATTTGGTTTGTTCTTTGATGTGAACTTCTTCCCTCTCTTACTCTACAATCCTCTCACTCCTGACAAAGTGATGGGACTATTTAGGAGTATATCTCTTTAACCCTGTGCTTTTGTGATTATAGGCCTTGGTGTCCCAGTGGGGTTGTGTTTTATTCATTCTTCTGCCTACTTGTGTAGTTTCTTTCATCTGGGTACTTCTTAATGAAGAAAGAAAGGAGAAGAAATTCCATTGGGAAAATTGTTTAAAAAAAACTGTCAGATTATCTGATACAGTTGACCACTCAGGAAAAAGAAAAAATGCTAACAAAAAGATATATGAAAGATCTAATTGTGCTATTAGAAATATTAGTCATAGAGGAATAAAAACAGTTAAAAATAAAATAAAAACATGGATCAGTGACTAAACCCAGAATAAAGCATGAAGCAACATTGTCACAGTTTATCTACTTGGTTTATGCAGCCTGTATTTATATTGTCCTACAAATATACACACTCAGTGTTAACATAACGAAAGTTCAGGTGTCACTATATTGGGAGGGTGGGTGAGGAGAACTTGGTAGGAGTGGATAATGTCTAAAAATTATAAACAAAAAGTAGCAATATAGACGTTTTCTCACACACAAAAATGGAGCCAAGTTCAGAAAAATAGAGCTATGAGAGTCCATTGAGGAATTGCAAGATTACAAGGATGGAATAAGAGACTTATGTTTTGATTGGTATGTACATTTTGGCTAAACATGAATGTTAGGAAGATAAATGTGGCTAAGAAATCACCAGTTTTTAATGTCTCACCAGCAAAAGTTTAACATTTGTGTTGTCTAAATACAATATGAAAGCAGGACTTCGGAGTTTCCAGCCATTTTGGTGCTGTGTAGACCATAGACGAGGAGAGAACTGTGGACCTTTAGGCAGACATTGGTTTGGGGGTCCACGGAACAGGCACCCTCTTCTTCAAGGTGGAGTCTGCACCACCTGAGGCTCTTGTGTCCATACTGTGGATGCTGAGGTGTTCATTCTGCTGACTTAGGTGCCTTGTCAAGCTGTGACCAAATTCCAGCGCAGAATCACTGACCATGGAAAAAACAAAGGAAATGGGAAAATATTGCATAATTTGTGGTCTCTGAAATGATCCAGCATTAATGGAAGTTTGTTTTAAGAAGTAATTTATGTCAGCTTTGTGTAGTTCAGGTCAATTCATGAAAAGGTAGATTCCTTCTGCCAGGAAGAAGGGAAGAAATGTATAAATTGTAAGTTTATATTACCATTGGAAATAGGAACACAGAAATCCATTATTTAAAGCCACGATCACTAGCAAATTTATCCTGGCTTGCTAGAAGTTATGGCCATGAGTCAGGACACTCTTTTAGAAGCCCTGGATTCCATTACCTTCAGCCTGAAGACAGTGGGGCTTAGTAAGAGAAACTTATAATGTCAGCTTTTGAAACTGTCATTTTTACATTTTATAAGTAGCAATTGACCACTGGTCTCCATGTTTAGCTCCTTTCAGAGGAAAGGAACACAAGCCCAAGACAGGTCTCCCCGTTCAGGGCTGGGACCTGTCTAGACTTGGGTGACGTTTGTAGCAATCTGTAGCTTCTAGAAATCTGCAGTCCTTTGAAATGAACATGCTTAATCTCTGTAGAAATAGTATCTCCAGATCAAAAATTTAAAAGTAAATGCAGATCACAAATTTTCTGTAAATCTAAAACTATTCTAAAAGGTGACATTTATTTAAGTGAATAAACCTAAAAAGATTCTTTATTAGGCATAATGTTATTTCAGAATATAATAGGAGTTAGAAGACTATTTTATTCCTTAGCTCAGTTTACATTGCTATAAAAAGGAAAGTCAGCATTTTCAACTTGTGTTTTGAAGTGCCGTTAGTGAGAGTTTAATTCCACTGAATGAAAAATCATTTTTTCACAGTGAGAATAGCATACTGTTTCTATTTCTATAGTATACTTGAAGGGCTCCATGATTAACTGTGAATAGATACTTATTAAAGAATCTCTCCTCAAACTTGTGGGGTAAATTGCCTACTTTATGTTCAAGGTACTGATAAGGTACAAAAAACAGCTTCTTGCTCATTAAAGGGTTATTTGTTTTGCATCGTTTGTCTATCTCATATTACAGGCTCATTTTATGTGGCCATATTTTAAGTGTTTTTCACTGACCAATTAAGCCTAGATATTCCTAAATGATTGGTTCTGTTTATTATGATTTGACAAAATACTTGGTAGTGCTCCCTAGAAGAGATCTAGAAGACTTCCATTTTTAAAAAAATACCCTACATATATTCATGTCTCCCACCAATATTTACTGAGAGGTTGAGCATAAGGCTTTGTGCTCAGTTCTAGAGGAGACAGTTATGAATAAGACAGACAAGGACACCTGACTTGATGGAGAAACAGGTAGTGAGCAAGGAAGCAAATAATTTTAAATGGCATTTGGTGCTATAGGGTTGGAAGGTATCACTGATACTCCAAGTCCAGGCCACTAATTCAAATGAATAATCAAAAGATACTTCTCTGAAGAAGCCACAGTTGAGCTGAAACCTGAATAGCAAGAAGAACCAGCTGGTGAAATCCAGATAAGAAGAGATGTTCTGATTTCGGGAGTAAAAAGTGCAAAGGCCCAAAGAAAGAAGGGACATGGTGTGCTGGAGAGATGGAGTGAGGGTGCAGCCACAAGCCGACGTTCTGATTTTATTCTATGTCACCAGAAGGCAGCGATTATGAGGTTGTGCAGGAGAATATCATAAACTGGTTTACTTCTTTTCTTTTTAAAGAGGTCTTTTTTGGGAAGTCTTTATTGGAAAACTGGCATCTGCAGGCAGACTCCTGTCACAAAGACCTGCAGTCCCGCGAAGATACTTAACACTGTTAGAAAACGGAGCCATGAGAGCTGGAAAGGAAAGAAAGAACAGAAAAACAATGCCAACAAACCAGATCAACTCCAATGGAGAGCTGAAGTCGGATGCCATTGTGACCCGAGGAGAACCAGAAGTAGACACCAATACTGAGACACGTGGCATGGCACACCAGTGCCTGAGCTGGTCGGAGCCTAAATAGATAGGGTCGGGGAGCAGGGTGACAGGGAGCTCGAGGCTCTCACAGTTAGTTCCAGGCACAGAACTAACTGATAGGCTGCTTTACTTTTTAAAAGGGTAATTTGACTAGGGCATGGAGAAAGAATTAGTAAGAGATCAAGGTAGGAATAAGAAGAGAGAAAATGGTGACCTGGGCAAGGTAACAGTAAGGGGTTGATGGGAAGCAGGAGGGCTCCGCAGCCCTGGAGGCAAAGTCATCAGAACTTACTTTTAAATGGATGCATGAGTCAGGCAGGATGGAGAAAGAGAAGACCCTAACATTTGAGAACCTGAAGTGGGTGGGTATAACATTTTGCCAGATGGAAAAGACTAAGGGATGAACAAAGAAACAAACAAAATCTGGATGGGAGATTTCACATCAACAATTGGGTTCAGAAAAAAAAATGTAAAAGTAGAAAAAGAATTAACCCTGATGCTAATTTCTTTCCTTTTTCTTTGTGTGTATGTGCTAGTCCTGGGGCTTAAACTCAGGGGCTGGGTGCTGTCCACACTCTGCGTTTGTGCTCAAGGCTTAGTGCTTATTAGCACAATACCACTTGAGCCACAGACCCCCAGCCCTCCCCTCCCTACTTTTTGGTGGTTAATTGGAGATAAGAGTCTCATGAACTTTCCTGCCAAAGCTAGCTTCTAACCAAGATCCTCAGATCTCAACCTCCCAAATAGATAGGATTACAGGCATGAGCCACACTGCTCAGCCAGATCCATTTTTTAAAATACAAGTTTTATTGTTATTGTAAAGGTGATGTACAGAGCAGTTACAGTTACATAATTCAGGTAATAAGTCCATTTCTTTTGGAACAGTATCACTTTTTCCCTCTATATCTCCCAGTTTTTCTCTCCTGACCTCCTTCCCAACAAGGTATATAGTTCATTTTTAACCTAGTGTCTAGTGAGTATCACTGGCTACATTTGTTCACCCTTTGTCCCACCATTTCTGTGCTCCCCCTTCACTCCCCCAAACAGATAAACTTACATACAAGACAAAAAAAGTACAGAAATCCAAAACAATGACAAAAGAGAAAAACCAAACAATAAGTAAAATAACATAAAATCTCTTATTTCCATTTCTTGCAGTTCATTTCAATAAGCATCATTTTATATGATCATATGCACATAGCTATTAAGCCTTTGTGATCCTCTCCTAAGAATATCTTCCTTTGATTTCACTATGTGAATGTCTACAGTCTTGTATAATTTATCATGCCCAAGTATATTTTTTTGTCTTTTACCATCCAGTGTATTAGCTTGTAGGCACTTTCTAGTTATAACAAATGAGGAAAACCATGAAACATGTTCCTTTGGGTCTGGCTTACTTCACTTAATATAGTTTTTTCCAAGTCTTTCCATTTCTTTATGAATGGTACAATATCATTCTTTCTACTGAAAGCATAGAGTTCCAGCACACACACACACACACACACACACACACACACACATAACACACACACGTGTGTGCATATGCATACACATACACATCACATTTTCTCTATCCATTCATCTGCTCAGGGGCATCTGCACTGACTCTCTATCTTGGCTGTGGTTGTGATAAACAGTGCTGCATTGAATGTGATTGTGCTGGTAGCTTTGGTGTGGCCTTGTTTGTGGTCTATTCTATAAATGCCCAGGAATGGGATTGCTGGGTCATAGAGAAGCTCTATGTTTAGTCTTTTGAGGAACCTATATACTGCTTTCCATAGTGGTTGAACAAGTTTATATTCCCACCAACAGTGTAGTAGTATTGGGTTGTTTTTTTTTTTTTTTTTGACCACATCCCTGCCAGCATCTGTTATTGTTAGTTTTCTTGACCATGTCCATAGTGACTGGGGTGGTGAAATCTCATCATTGTTTTGATTTGCATTTCTTGCATTTCTTTTATGGCCAGAGATGTTGAATAAACCAGAGGATGTAGCAAAGAGGATTCCATAAATAAGAAGCCTTTAAGATTTCTCCCTCTGTTCTGTCTGTCTGTCTATCTGTCTGTCTGTCTGTCTGTCTGTCTGTCTCTCTCTCTCTCTCTGCGTGTATGTTTAGATCATTGGACTCTGACAAAGCCCACATTGCATACCCACATGCTCTCAATTTAAAAAAAAATCAGTTTTATAGTCGTACAAATATATTACTTTTTAAAATACACAATTATGTTAAAGGTCTGTTCATATAAATCTTAATTCTAGATACTAACATACAAACCATGATTAATTAACTCTCTTCTACAAAATTAATCTTTTAGCCTGGGCTCTCCATTCATGTTGGTTTATATTTCTCTTTTCTTCTAGCTTTGCCAGCATTTACCAAAAGAACTGTTACTCCAGACTCAGCTTCAATCAAGGGAGATGTTGCAAATTTACCATTGAGTAGAACAAGCTCACAATCCAAGAAGGACGAATATGAGAGCAAAAAAAGCAAAATGTAATTAGTTATTTTGAGTGTTTTAAGAATAATAGCTTATCTGTCCTTTGCTGCCATTTGGACCTGATTGTCTAACATACATACCTGTGGCTTTGGCTCTTTGCCAAATGTTGACTAAAATGAAAATATACTTAAGTCTTTGTGAATGATAAAGTTAACCAAAAGTGAATGATATTACCAAAGTAATAGCAACTTATGAATGATAGGCAGCTAACTAAATGGCAACATGCCAATAGAAAAAGATATATTTTCACTTTGTATTTCCCTTTTATAAAATGTGGTCAGTTACAATTTCCTGACCAAATCTTGGGTTTATAATTGAAGCCTTTCAAAAATTACTGGCTAAAATAAGAAAAATGAGTTCCCCTTTAGGCAAAAGTTGCCAGCACTTTAAATTCAGGGAGCATTTATATACAATTAATTTTTCAAATGCGTTCTCCCTTATTAATTATCATGTGTTATAACATGTCATGGAGATTTGCATATGTCATATTAACTCTCTTTGTAAATGCTCAGGACTGTTAATATCCATCATCTAGCAGTCTTATTACCATAGGAAGTACCTTAAAATGATTTCTAATCATCAGTTTTTAATAGCAATAAAGAATTTATAAATAATATCTGAATTATAGAGTACTGTAAAGAATTCAGAGCACAGTTTATTTATTTGTCTTTTTGTCAAATATCCCACATATCCCAAAGATGGCCATACACTGGACCATCTTTCATTTAATGTGACCAAGGTTACAGCGCCAAACTCCTGAGTCTGTGAAGTTCACTCTGCAAGAGCTCTTGTAGCATTTGGAACTATCCACCTGCTTTTTACATCCCAGCTCTTCTCAACATCAAAGTGTTTTTAAGACCTTATCCTTTTTGCTTGCTCATCTACAGTGGAGAAGGAGTTAAATCAAATGTAGAACAATGGTAAATATCTACAAACTCAGTCCTACTGGTTCATAATGGAAAGACTGCACAGAGGCAAGGACAATAAAGCAATTCCTTAGTAATAATGTGTGTTACCCTTGTGTTTGTTAAAATAGACTTCTCTCATTTTTTGAAGGTGCTTCTATTTCTGTTTAAGATATGTTTTCCTAACCTACTACATTTAAAGGTATGCAATTCAATCATTACTATAATTACTGTAGAAAATGGAGATGTTTCATATTTAAAAAGTTTAAAAATAAGAACTACCTGACCTCTGAAAGTACAGCACACATTTTATATTTTCTTGATTTCAATTTTTTTGGGGGGGGTGCCTAACCTATGGTAGTCCTTGTGCTAGGAAGTAAAAAGATAACAAAACAGGTGTGCTTATCACAAAGTATGTCTAATATTATGAATTACATAAAAATAGGGGTGATACGTTTAGGCTGTCTTTAAAAAAGTCTAAATTAGATAACCTTAAACAGTTTTTGTTTTGTTCATCCATGATCATTCCGAGGTTGTAAAGGGAGGAGCTCTTTTGAATAAGCAGTGCTTATTCAATTTCAGTGCTGCAGTTCCATAGACCCTGAATTACTGGAGGGTATTTTTCAGTATTTAGAATATTGAGAAGTTGTTATAGTACCTCTGCTAGTGTTGTGAGTAACAAAATAATAATTTAGTCCTCGAGCCTACATTCCTAACAGAAAAGAAAAGGAGGAATAAAATTAACAGGTTTTATTTAAAATCTAAAGATAAAGGTTAAACCCCTTTATACATCAGAAAAGACTTCAAACCATCTGTTTAAATAGAACTGATCTAAACCTTTAATAGCATATCAATAGTTATTGAAAAAAGAAAACAGTTGCGTGGTGCTGGTGACTGACACCTATGATCCTAACTACTTAGTAGGCTGAGATATGAGGACTGTTGTTCAAAGCCAGCCTGGGCAGAAAAGTCTAAGTGACTCTTTTCTCTAATTAACCACACACTCCCTACTCAAAATAAAACAACAAACCCATGGAAGTGGAGCTGTGGCTCCGCCGTTAGAGTACTGGCCTTGAGCCAGAAAGCTGAGGGACAGACAGTACAACAGTCCCTGAGTTCAAGACCCAGGACAGGCACAGGACAAAAAATAAAGGTCAATTAGACCTGAAAGTTTAGGGGAACTTTGGATTATTGATTCAGGAAATCTGAAAAAAGTAAGGCTATTATATCATGTTATTGAATCTTCTATGCTACTGCTGGATGAATTAAGGTGTTTGACTTTCAATATGGATCACACAAGAACTTCAAAGGAAAAGTCACTTTTCATGAGAAGCAATTTTGTCAAAATTCTTTGGCCCTCTTTTTTTTTTTTTTAACTTAAACCCAAGGATATTTCTCCTATAAAGATTTTTCCTATCTCTTGAAGTTACCATAAACTTGAGTTGGAAATCCAATGGAATGGTAAGGAAACACTAATAGTTTGGTTTGTATGTTTCAAAGCCAGTGAGTGTTTTTCCTTTACTCACTCCCCTGGCAGGATGGCTGAAATTACGTGCGATATCAGCTCCATTTGAACTGTAACTGGTCAGTCACAGTGTTGCAGCACTGGGACATTGGAAGGGATAAACTTTATTCTGCAGGGAGCCTGGTCCAAGACTTAATTTGAAGATTGACCTTTTTTGGTTTAATAATTTTGATTCTCCTGGCCGTCTTTTCCCCTAAACACACTGAACTTCTACTGAAGTTATGAAGGCCACAGAGAGAGAAACACAGCTGGGAGAAATCTAGCTTGGTGTTTTTCCCATTGGCTAAGGTCATATTATTTCCTTAACTAGTGTCTGACTTGAAAGTTCAAAACCAACTGGTTATATAACGTTTTGTGCACTCAGTTTCCCAAAACCATTCGATTTTTAAAAATTGTTATAGCTTACCTATTTCAACAAGAAGGAGATAAATTCCATAACAATAAAATGCTACACATATAACTTCAAGATTACGCATGTAAAAAGTGCCTGGATACTTGTCCAAGAAGGCAGATAAGCCTGATTTTCTTATTCATTTTTTCTCCTTTCATCATAAGTTCCTTTTTCATTTTGAAAATTCAGTTCCGTGATATACAGGATCTATTTAGGGTCAGTAATTGTTTCATTTTCTCTAATCTGCGCTGCGTCTTATAGTTAAGTTAACAAATAGTATTTTAAACTGGAACAAATTCTTATATATAATGAAGTAGGATATTTACTTATGAAGTAGATATTTACTTAGTAAACCCTCTTTTAGGAAGGAATAAATATCTCAAAATTGTTTTATGTGGGATTTGGTTTTTTTTTTTTACAAGCACAGCTACACATCATATGCTGGCTAAGAAGAATATGAATGATTATTGACTAAATTATTCCTTTACAAAGGTTCTTATGTCCCATCCCTAAACAAACTGTCCCAAGATAGTTTTTTCAGTTTTTAAACAAAACAAAACAGCATTTGTGATTTTCACAGTCTTCAAATGAAGAAGCAGTTTCTCATGAAAGCATCTGGCTTTTCTGGATCAAAACTGAACCATGAATTTAAGCTGGAAACAAATTGGAGAATTTGTATATAAAGGCTTTTCATGCACCAAAATACAATATAAAAAGTTAGCTCGTTTGACTTTTAAGTTCTCAAATACGAAGCAGTAGAAACTTATTAACTTATCCCTATTTGAGAAGAGAAATGTAAACAATGAAAAGAAAAATTCCATCTTTTTTTTTTTTGTACAGAATATAGCACATCCAATTTAAGGCCAGTAAACATGCTTACACTGAGAAGCAGAACTTTAGATTCCAAGCCCCCAGATACATTTCAGAGATGTCACCTTGCTTTTGATTTGTAACTAGGTAAACTTAGGTGTTCTGTCCTGGTGAAACCACGCCCACTTGTCCACTGTGACTTGGTCTTCCCCATCTTAGCTTCTCCTGCCATAGCAGTACAGGTGTCTGTGTCCTATCTAAACCCAATCCCAACACACTGGGCCAGCCCCTACCATTAATCTCTGAAGTCTAGCACCCATACGTGCCAAACTGAGGGGCAGACTTTCTAGGTTTTGTAGTACTAGGGTTTCTTTTTTAGAAACGAGAGATTAGAAAAAAGTTTTATATCAAAAATCTTTGGCTAGTCATAGGTAAAACCCTAGGAATACTTCTGTGCCTTGGTATTTTTCCTTTCCTAACACAATTTAATACTGACATAGGTGCAAAGTCCTGTGGCAATGATGAATGCAAATGTATATCCACCAAGCTCTTTGCAGGAAAATACTGAAGTACTAAACATAGCAGCCACATGTTCATTACCTTCAGGAGGACAGTGAAAACAACATATAATCGGATGACCTCCACATATTTTTTTTCATGTGCAACCTTTGACGGTTGAAGTGGGCCCATGAAAGTATAAATGCTTCTGTAGTTTTTTAAGAAAAGAATTGCACCATCTATCAGATATATTTCTAACAGGAATTTAATGTGTTTTAAAGTTTGTACCGTGGCCATAGTCCGGGATGGTTGCTCTGTTGTTCTCTGGCAGATGCTAGATTGTCATGTTGTCTGTTTTTTTGTCATCTTTTCACAGATCTCTGTGACTTGACACCTTTCTCGTTTATTATTCTTTCAGTGAAGCACTGTGACTGACATTGTTTAAATAAAGCCAAAAGTTACAATTTGCCCTTAGATATTAGAACTCTGGATCAGCTTTGTACTTCACTCAGGAAAATAAAATAGCAGAAGACTAGCTTAAAGCTGTTTTTGTTTTTTAACAAAATGAACGGGTAGCAAATTACCAGCAGTTCAAATGTTACAATTTAAAAGTAAGAAAATATTCTGAAGGCAAGAGGGATAATATTATATGTTCTTTAGTTAGTCACTAATTGACAGTCTCATTTAAATTCTGATTTAATATTTTCTTAAAATCATACTTGCTAAAAAAAAAAAAGGCCAAGGCCAATTTTTATAGTATCAGATTTTTCCATGAATTTTTTTTCTTTTTTTTTCCTTGCAAATTCTTAAGGAAAAATTAAGTCAGGATACTTGTAAGAAGTCACCAAGGGGTCAAATGGCTTTTAAAAGCCATGCTGGCCCACAATGTAAAAACATACACTTCCAAACAATACATCTCTGTTTGTCCTTGAAATGCAGTATTTCTGTTGGAAATATTTCCTCACTCCCAGTGTATCTTCATTTCCTTCTCCAGTAGCCAATCCCAATCCCGTACTCACAGATGTTTTGAAGTAGCTTTACATCCCTTATTTGGGCCAGCCTCTGGACTAGAGTCATGTTACCTATCCTGGGTATAGATCTCATGACATTAGGGTAATGGCAGTCAGAAAGAGCTAGTGAGATGAAAACATACTACTCTCATGTTGCTTTTTTTTTTTTTTGAGATATAGGCTGATCTCTTAACCTAGAATGTATATAAAAGGCTTCTCTTAATAACAAGAAGATCCTTATTCTTCATATTTTTCATGGGATGTTATGCAGCTATTTGTAATATAATATTTATATGTGCTTTATGTATCAGAGAACTAATGTCTATTATTTTGTGAACCTTCTTATATTCCCCAAATAGATCAGTTGCACCTAGGATGTAAAATTAATTTTTAAAATGCATCCCCTCTACAAGACATTTTTTTTTCAGTCTGGAAGCCATCTATTATCAATCATACTGCATGACTTCCCTGTGCC